TACCGAAATTCAGGCTAGAATGCACTAGGCGAGCTGGTGTGATCATGCGTTTTTACACCAAACTTGAAGTAATTAGGTTGACTGCATGAACAGTTGTTTCTTCACACCTAGCTTGTGCGCTCGATACCGTAAATCATCGTAAATTTCGCATAAAAGGAAATAAGTAATTTCCGTCTAGCGGTCCTTTTTTGAAAATGACCCAACTGTTCAGTGAGTGATTTTCCTGCCAAAAATTTAAAATCCCGTACACGAGAACCAAGCGTACCTTGAGGCTGGATTTGAAAATTTTAAATTGTATTTGGACGAGGAATATTCTCCTAAAATCTCGGCTTTCCGGCTCTTCTGGTTTCCGAGTTAGCAGTTTTCTCGCCAAAACTTTTACGGGGCCGCTCGTGACCTGGGGGCATAACTGGGAGCTCGGTTGATTTTTAAGTTGTACGTGGGTTGTAAATGAAAATTTTAGCACCTCAGCTTTCCTCTTTTCCGAGTTAGCAATTCTTCCCCCCAAAAATTTTCGTGGGACCGTATGCGAGAACCACGCATGCCTGGGGGCTAAATTTGATAACTTTAAGTTGTATATGAGCTGGGAACATTTCCTTAAAATTTCAGCCTCTTGGCCCACGTGTTTCCCAAGTTAGCGATTTTCACGCCAGGAACTCCCACAGGGCCGTACGCGGGAACCACCCACACCTGGGGCCTGACTTTGAAATCTTTGAGTTACATGTGGGCGGGGAACATAATCTCAAGATTTTAGCCTTCGGTCTCTTCTCGTTCTCAAGTTGGCAGTTTCCCCACAAAAACTTTCACCCTCTTGTACGCGGGGCCCAGACTTGCGCGAAGGTTGGTGCCGCAATCTTGGGGTGGTACTTGGCTGGGGAACCTACCCGCAAAATTTTAGCGTTGGAGCTTGCTTGGTTGCCGAGTTGAAATACCCGGACAGACGATCACATACGAACAAGGTCGTCGCAATATGCGTTTTTGCAATTTGCATATAGTCGAAAACGCATAACTCAGGCTGAAACGCATCAGTCGAGCCGGTGCGATTATGCGTTTTTGCACTTTTCATGCCGTAGCAAGATCGCAAGGAATCACAGTAGTTGACCCTGTGACATACTGGCCCTCGAACTTCGGGAAGTTAATTGCGCAGCTATGTGGGTATATCAGTTGTAGATGTGAACTTCAGTGACCCGACAAGTGGAAAGTTGCTGGTTCTCAAAAAAGACCACACCAGAAGAGTTAAATTTAAAATCTTTCAGTTGCACATGAGTAGGGAGCAATCCTTTAAAACTAAAGCCTTCAGCTTTTACGTTCCCGAGTTGACAGTTTTCCCATCAAAAATTCCACGTGTTCGTACGTGAGTACCGAATGGTTTTAAGGAGCTGAATTTAAAATCTTTTGGTCATATATGAGTGGGGAACATTGCCGTAAAGTTTCAGCTTTCTAGCTTTTTTCGTTCCTAGGTTAGTGATTTTCGCGCCAAAATTTCCACGTGCCTGTACGTGGGCCTGGGTGCTTTTAAACGCTTGATTTTGGTCGTAAATTAGTAGGGAACATTCCCTTAAAGTTTCAGCTTTCTAACTTTTCCCGTTCCCGGGATAGTAATTTTCGCGTCAAAATTTCCACGCGTTCGTATGTGCGCTCGGGCGCTTTTGACTACTTGATTTTGCTCGTACATGAGAAGGGAACATTCCCTTAAAGTTTCAGCTTTCCAGCTTTTGCCGTTCCCGGGCTAATAATTTTCGCGCCAAAGCTTCTACGCGCTCGTACATGGGATTGGGCGCTTCTAAACACCTGATTTTGCTCGTACATGAGTAGGGAATATTCTCTTAAAGTTTCAGCTTTCTAGCTTTTCTCGTTCCCGAGTTGGTAATTTTCGCGCCAAAATTTCCACTCACTCGTATACGGGCTCGGGCGCGTGGTTAAAAACCACCTGCTTTCGCTCGTACATGAGTAGGGAACACTGCCTTAAAGTTACAGCTTTCTAGCTTTTCCCGTTCCAGGGCTAGTAATTTTCGCGCCAAAAATTTTCACGTTCGCGTACTTGAGCCCCAGGCAGACTTAAGGAGCTGAGTTCGAAAACTTTTGGTCGTGCATGAGTAGGGAATATTCCCCCAAAATTTCAACTTTCTAGCTTTTCTTATCTTCGAGTTATGAATTTTCTCGCCATAATTTTTACGTGCCCGTACGTAAGCACCGGGTACACCTGGGCAACTGAATTTGAAATCTTTTTGTCGTAGATGGGTAGAGAACGTTCCCCCAAGGTTTCAGCTTTCCAGCTTTCCTATTTTCCGACTCAGCAATTTTTGCGCCAAAAATTTCACTTACTCGTAAGCGGGGCCCAGTCGTGCGTGAGAGTTGATATCGCGGTCCTGGGGTGGCACCTGGCTGGGGAACACACTGGCAAAATTCCAGCTTCAAAGCTTGCGTGGTTGGCTAGTTGAAACACCCGGACAGACGAACACACACACACACACACACATACTGACAGGGTCGTTGCATTATGCGTTTATGCTTCCTGTTGCAGCGCTTTAGTGCTGCACGGCAAAAACGCATAAAAACCGGTAATAATGTACTTGGAGGTCGATGCGGCCCTGTAACGCAACACCATCCCAACCGACGCCCTTTCTCGTGCGTGCCGGGAGGGGCCAGAGCACGGCCAATATGAGCCCAAGTGTTAGGCTAGAGTGCAGGAATC